AAAAATGTGGCAATCAAACAGGGCCTTAAATTTCAATACGATTTTCTGCAAAATTGTATTGAGTAACAAAAAAAAGAGTTTTTCGTTGGTAATAATTTTTAAAGAATATAATCTTGCAATCAAATTCGTGAAATCTATGTTTCCAAAAAGAAAAAAGAAAAGAAACCATAAATTCCCGCCACAGAAAATGATTTTGCGGTAGGATATCTACACTTTGAATATAAACGAAGAGTTCTACTGAAATTCAACTACTGCACTAGCACCACTATATCTATAGATACATATAACACAAATACACATTCAAACAAACAATTTTGTAATTATGCCTTTCAATGCATCATATGTTCATCAAAAACTCTCTAGTCCAACCTCATTCTTTGGAATCAAATTATGGGTTGACATCACTTTCTTAGTTTTAGCCTTATCTCTGGTTCTGATCATTGCTCTTCTTTTCATTTTTCGGCATCGTAGGAAAAAACTTAACAAATCAAAACCCATTTTGTCAAAAAATTTTGTTCATAGTCCTGCTTCCATGAACAAGAGGTTGTTATCGCGTAATGGATGGGATGTAGAGATGAGCATTGGGACACCGGAGAAACAAGTAATGTACTCCGATCAATGGTCTACTCCGGCCATTGGAACGATGGCAAATGTTGGGGCAGTGGCTATGGATATAGGGCTGGTTAGCCGGTATACATTTGGGGAGATCATTGCAGCAACAAATGGCTTGGCCGATGAGAATGTGATAGGAAGGGGAGACTATGGGGTGGTTTATCATGGAGTTCTATTCGACAACACCAGAGTTGCAGTGAAGAAGTTGCTATATAAAAGGTAAATGCTGGAGTGTGTGAGTATTTCATCCATTTATTAGGCCATTTGTTTTTGAGTTTCATTTTGTTTATTAATGCTAGGATTAGGGCTTAATCCCTAACACTATTAAGTATTCATGGTATGGAGAATTGACAGGAGTAGAGCCAAAGAATTTCAAAGCCAGGCAGAAGCAATGTGGTTCATTAGACACAAGAACTTGGTGAAGTTGCTTGGATATTGTACTGAAGGAGCATACAGGTACCAGTAGTATGCTATCTCTTTAATGTTTGGTGGAGTGAATTAACATTATAGAACAATATTAAGGAAAGAAAAAGAAGAGCTGAAATCTTGTCTATTGTGTTGTTTAGTACAATCAAATGCTGTGTACCATTGTATACAATCTCGTAATGTTTTTACTTTGATACATAGGATTCTTGTTTATGAATATGTTGATAATGGCAATCTTTACCAATGGCTGCACCACTGCATAAGCAAAATTAGCCCGTTGACATGGAATATCCGACTGAAGATTATCATAGGAATTGCAAAAGGGTTCGTTTAATTGAATTCCTCGAATTCAGCTTCTTCTTTTTTATACATTCCCGGAGATTTAGCTCATGAAATTCAGATGTGAAAATTTCTTCTTTTTTTCACAGCTTGGCCTACCTTCATGAGGATACAGAGCCGGCGGTTTCTCATAAAAACTTAAAATCGAGTAACATATTACTCGATCAACAATGGAATCCTAAGCTAACTGATTTCGGGATCACTGATTTCTTAGGTCCTGAGTGGAGTGGTCACGACATAGCTGTCCCTATGGGAATGTGTGGATAAGTTGATTTTTTTTTTCCTTTTGCTTTTAATTATTTTTATTATATTGTGATTCGTTATCAACTTGCCTTATAAGCTGCATTGGATCTGTAGTTACACAGCACCAGAATATGCTCAAAGTAAAGTTCAAGATGAGAAAAGTGATATTTACAGCTTCGGGGTACTTATTATGGAGATTATATGTGGGAGAACTTCCATAGAGTCATCTGTGACTGAAATAGAGGTTGCTGTTTCTTTAAAAAAAAAAGGAAACAATCTTTTTAATTCTATCTATTCTTCTTCCAAAAAGAGTTTTTAACTTTTTTTCATGTAATGTAAGTTGAAATTGCAGGAATATTTGGTTGACTGGATAAAATTCATGGTGTCAGAACAAAAAATTGAGCTTATAACAGATCCCAAGTTGTCTGAACTGCCATCAGTGAAGGAACTCAAAAGAATTCTTCTCATAGCTCTTCGATGTGTTGATCCAGAAGTCGATAATAGGCCTAAAATCGGAGAAATAATCCATATGCTCGAGCCTCGTGATTTACTACTCAGTGATGTAAGAAAGCTTCCCTCTCCTAGCATTTATTCAATTATGTTATACTGAGAAGCTTTTTCATTAGCTTCCCGTGATTTTTTGCAGAAACGTGTTATTAAGAGGGAGATTTCTCGTCGTAATTCTTTGAAAGAAGATCGGTTAGCTCAAGTTACTTGTACTGATTGACTATCAAGTATCAATTAACAAGAATTCTTAAAATTTTGATGTTTTACTACATTTCCTCTCGAGATTCGAACTTTTACTATTTCTTTGTGAGACGTTTGGCTGAAAACTCCTATCGGTACTATTTCTTTTAAGGCATGCATTTGACAATATTAAGGAAGAAAAAAGTTGTACGTTAATGTACAAGTTTCCAAATGAACATTGTTAATAGGCAATGTATCGACATGGAAAGCACAATCTATGCATTTCCTGGTAACTCGGTTCGAAGTTCCTGCAATATCAATACAATTCCATGGCAATATGGTCGATTTCTTAGAAAGATCAACGGTCAATACAATTACAAATACTGGTAAAGGGATCACCCTCTCACACGAGAATAAACGTCTCGAAATATGTTTTTTTTGAAATGTGTGAATAAAGAGTTAGGAAAATATTTAAAAGAGTTTATAAATAGTGGAAATTACATAATTTCAGGTGTTTAAAGATTATAATTCAAAAATCATGTATGAATATAATAATTAAATATATACCCCCAATTCAATTCCAAACCCTAACCATTTCATTTTATTCTCACCCTCACTCACTCACTCACTCACTCTCCATCTATTTTCTCCTCCATTCCTTTCCCTCTTCTACCCCATTTCACTTCAGTCGTCGCCACCATGTCGTTGTCACCACGTAAGCAGCACCGAGGCGATCTGTACCACGCAGCGCGATGGGTACGAAATCTCCTCTCTCTCTCTCTCCCTCTTCTCAACAAGATCTGGTGGGTGAGCATCACCGCCACTATAGTAGCGGCGCTGAAAAATTACTGGGCACAAACCACAACATTCATTCTGTAAAATTACTGGTCACAAATCATAGCATTCATTCTAGTAATGGCGGTGATGTCGTTGTCGAGAGGTGGTGGTAGTGGTGGTGTTTTTGTTACAGATTGTAAGGCAGTTTAGGTTGTGGTGCAGGTGGAGGTGGCGGTAGCAGTGGCGGTGGCGAACTTGATTATTTGTTGGAGGGGTGATGGTTGTGGTGTGGTGTGGACCGTGTGGTAGTTTTGGGAGAGGGGTGGATTTTGGCAGGCGACAGTGGTGTGGTGGTGGTGCTGTGAAAGGTGCTGTGGGTGTGTTCGTGGTGCTGTGGGCGATGCTGGTGATCGTGGCTGTGGCGATGGTGAGGTGGGATGAGGTGGGTTGGATGCCTGTGACCAACAATTGGTTACTTTGTAACATGTGATCTAAAAATTGTGACGGTGATGGTGGATTTGGTGCGGTAGTGATGGTATTGTGGTGCTGGCGACGGTCGCAGGGTGAAGGTGGTCGTAAGTGGTGTTGGCGGTGGTAGGTGACCTAATTTTTGGTGTATGTGACGAATTATTTGGTTATTTGTGATCAGTATTAAACTGCGACCTTAAAATTTGATAACTTATGACTGAAATATATATTGTAACCAACAAATTTAAAAATCTGTGACCGATTTATAATTTGTGACTTGTAGTTTTTTTTATTTGTGACCAATGAAATAAATTGTGACCTATAAAAATTTTGATTTGTGATCTCAAAATAATCTGTAACTTATACAATTTTTGATTTGTGATTTCGAAATAATTTGTGACCAATTAATTTGATAATATGTTACTTGTAGATAATTTGTGACCTATAATTATGTACGTGTAATCTAATTAATAAATATTTTTAATTAATTAATTAATACCTGAATTTTGAATTGTTAAACTATCTACTTGACTTTTGAATTTGTGTAAATCATACACCTGAAATTGGAATTTTTCCTATATAAGTATGAAATATGATCTTACCCTTTACCTCAAATCTTTTCAAATTACAGCCACAGATCTCCATTTAAAAAAAAAAACTTCACACAGTTTCCTCCTCATGGGGCCCATAGTAGTAAACGTGAAAACATAACCGTCAAATCCCTTCCGGTAAGAGAAGTCACAGAAACTCTAGAATACCGTCCCATTAACTACCACGTGTCTAATCCTGTTTTTCATTTCCAATATTACCCTTCCCTCTCCTACTCATCCCCGTCTCTTCTGACCGGCAATCTCATGTGATCAGTTATTTTATCCATCGATTTCTCTTACACAGTTAAGCACTGAACTTGTAATATTTTTGTGAGTTTTTCAGATCCAAATCCAATCCCATAATTTTCTCCTCTTTCGTCTCTATAGATATCTAACCTTTTATTGATTTTGCCGGGGCCTTCTTTTCTCGCTATGATATCAACAGGTTTGCTTGATTTTAGCTCTTATTTTTGGTAATTTTAATGTTAGCCTTACTTTTTTTTTAGTATGATCTGATGCTAGATAATGCGTGAAACGAGTCGGTTTTTGTTTATGGGATCTGGGTTGAGCGGATCAAGGGGTAAAATTTAGGGGTTTAGTGGGATATAACTTGTCCATTCAATTTAGATTAAAAAAAAAAAACTTCACACAGTTTCCTCCGCATGGGGCCCATAGTAGTAAACGTGAAAACATAACCGTCAAATCCCTTCCAGCAAGAGAAGTCACGGAAACTCTAGAATACCGTCCCATTAACTACCACGTGTCTAATCCTGTTTTTCATTTCCAATATTACCCTTCCCTCTCCTACTCATCCCCGTCTCTTCTGACCGGCAATCTCATGTGATCGGTTATTTTATCCATCGATTTCTCTTACACAGTTACGCACTGAACTTGTAATATTTTTGTGAGTTTTTCAGATCCAAATCCAATCCCATAATTTTCTCCTCTTTCGTCTCTGTAGATATCTAACCTTTTATTGATTTTGCCGGGGCCTTCTTTTCTCGCTATGATATCAACAGGTTTGCTTGATTTTAGCTCTTATTTTTGGTAATTTTAATGTTAGCCTTACTTTGTTTTTAGTATGATCTGATGCTAGATAATGCGTGAAACGAGTCGGTTTTTGTTTATGGGATCTGGGTTGAGCGGATCAAGGGGTAAAATTTAGGGGTTTAGTGGGATATAACTTGTCCATTCAATTTAGATTTAGATTGTATGTATAGTTCAGTTCGGTGGCTTTGGTTTTTGGATAGAACAATTCGATGTTTTGTGGATCTGAATTTAGGGTTATGTTTGCCAATTGCCATACTAGGATGCTTTTTTTTATGAAAAACTGAATTCCAAACTGGAATAAAGAATTGTTACTAATTGAATCATCCACCCATTCATTATTAGTTAATATAATATTAGTTTAATGACTGAACTTGAGGGTTTTTTTTTTTTTTCCTTAAAGAAAATGTAAGATAGAGGAATTGCACTCATTGATCAATTATATTTTTAAGTACATGAATTGAATTAACATATGTTCTAACTTGGGTTGTTGCTAGGCGATTAAAGTTTTTTCTTTGTTAATGATGTGCTTTACTGCTTTGTATAATTGGCTAGCTCTGTTCAGGATATTAGGTGTATATGGTTGTGGCAATGTATGAATGTCAGGTTTTGATTGTTTCATGACGAATGGTAGGTAGAATTTGATATGTTTAGCCTGTCTCTAGTCCTTACCTATTGATCAGTTATATTTCATCATGGCTGTTACAATGAGTCATCGTCTAATTTTATCTTTCTTGGTGTATGTCTTTGCTGTAATTTCTTTGCAGTTTTGGAAATATTTTCCTCGATTGGTACTATAATTTATGTTTTTTATATTCATGGCAGGAGGGAAGGACATGTGAGTTGTTTGAACAGAAGGAACTAGTTATTTCATCTGGTAATTAATCAGCTCATATTTTAGTTCGTTTCGCTGTAATTAATAGCAAAGATTTTCTAAAAATGAGAAGAATGGCAAGGAATGGGGTAACTGCTTATCAGTTTTCTCTTCTCCTATCTCCTGTTGTTTCTTTTTGGGAATGTAGTGTGCGTAAAATGAGGTATTCCTTCAGACCTGAGTGGGTGTAGATATAAATGCTGTAGATTTATTGTTATATAACTTGTCATCTTTGGATTTAGTATCATTAAGCATTAAATAACGAGGTTTGGAACAAAAGGGAATACATAGATACTCAAATATTTAAAAATACAAGTCCTGTAGTATTAGGGTCAAGGTTAGCATGGAGTGTGCTAAAGTACCAGCTGGTGTTAGAAAAGCCAAGAAGAAGCAGGTAAAGGATGAGTTAGATCGTATTAAACAGGCCGAGAAGAAAAAGAGGCGCTTGGAGAAGGCTCTGGCGACATCTGCTGCAATCCGTTCTGAGCTGGAAAAAAAGAAGCAGAAAAAGAAAGAAGAACAGGAGAGGCTTGATGAAGAAGGTGCTGCAATAGCTGAGGCAGTTGCACTGCATGTCCTACTTGGTGAAGACTCGGACGATTCATGCAAAGTTATGCTGAAAAAGGATGAGGAGCTTACCTCATTGGATAATGGTAGCAACTTCGACATTGTTATGGGTGGACAACAAGCAATGGTTCCTCATCATGATCTATCGACCTATTTGCTCAAAGGATCTGGCTGGGTTTCTGACCCTCATGAATATAGGGGCATGTTAAATCACTGGGGCAATTCCAACTTGATCATGCCATCTGGGCTGCTGGGTAGAGATTTATACCCACAATATTTCGAAGAGGAAAGTTGGGACACTGCTAATTTATCTGCTGGTCTTCTTGCTTCTCAGGCTGTTTCATCACTTCAGATCACTGATGATGCACGGGTAGATGCCTACATCTTCAACCAGATGTTAAGAGGTTAAAATAAAGAGTGCTCTGTGTCTATCAACATGTGGGTTTTGTGTTACGTTTTGTGTTCTGATTAGCGTCCTGTATATTTCAAGTGAGCTCACCTGTCTTGTTTTTCAGAATTCAAAGCTTGAATTTATTGACATTTGTTCACTCTTTGTGATTCAAATTCTTGTTGGTCGTTTCTGATGGCTTGCAATTTCAATATGTTGGCTGAGTAATTTAAGTGGTGTTTCTTTCTTCTTCTTCGACTTAATTCAAACAAAAATTCCAAAGCTTTTATATTTAAATTTCTTTAACTTCTTCTAATCAACCCTACATGATATTTGTGATTAACGTGATACAATTTCCAGATGGTAATCATCTTCATAATGTGCTCTAATTTCCATCAATTACAACGTAGCATGAGATGCTTATTTTTTCCCGTTCCATTAAAAAAAAATTATATATTCTTTCCCAGTTTTTGATTTGCCAACCCGAACCTTCACACTGATTGTCCTTGGTCTCGTTGAAGACGCTCCTTCATGTAATCTTTCGTCACTTCTCTTTCCGTGCTATATAGTAGTAGCTGCACAGTTAGACACCGTTAGAATAAAAAGGTTGCTATCAAAAGAGGTGACTCGGACACCATTCGAACTCGGCTCTAATCATTTTATTTTAAGGGCTGTTCAGATATTTAATTGCCTTTTAAAGATTTTCGCGCATAAATTTTAATGAAAAGAATCCATATGGAAATGTTTTATATAGGAGCATTTATTAGGTCCACATTTATGGATCATCACATGTTAATGGCAATTTACAAAATTGGATTTTTAGTCATATTGGATGGTGCAATTGATGCACAAAAGTTTTTCGAGAAACGTTAAGAGTAGAAAGGTCTCTTTAACCCCTATGCAATGTACCAAACATCGAGTGGATTGACTGTATTCTATTACTCATGTTACGTGTACATTATCATTTATATCATTTTCCTCCGGTTCTTTTTTAAAAACACATCAAATGTTAAACAACATGTACACTTGAAGTGTATGTCTAGCATTTTTGGTTTTTTATAGCATGTCGTAGGAGGTGGATTGTTGGTCTTGGGTTCATAATTTATATTCGAATCATGTTTGGTCTCACTTAGAAAGTTATAAAAAAAACTAGTCAAAATTAATAATTAATTTTAATTACATATTCGATGCGATAACTAACATTTAATTTTTAAGGGTAATTGAAGCAAAACTCCTCCTTACCTTTGCCGCGGAATGCTCCCATATGCTTTCATTTTGGCAAAAACCTCCCTGCTTGACATTTTTTCTGCATAATACAACATTTTCTTTCATTTTCTCAATAAATCCTTATGAAATAATGAATATACCTTCCTCTTTAAATAGGGGGGAAAAAAAAAAGGTAAACTTAATGAAAAAGTAATTGCAATTGTAGTCCCTTTTTTTTTTTAAATGCAAATGAGTCCAAAATAAATAATTAAAAAATTTTAAAAATAAATCTCTTTCTCTCTCACCCTATCGTCTTCCTACCAACAGATGATGAACAGCCAATTCGAACACGGCCCAAGCCACCACAACTTGAACTTTCATGTGCCCTTCTTTCGCAAAAATTGAACACCAGCATTAACATTGGATCCTACACTTTCAGGGTCTCTGCCAAGTAGCCATTTTGCCTTGCACCATATTTTCGAGCCACCATTGTAACACCGCCTAAAATTCACCTGGTTAATAAACTAGGCAGCAGCCATGGCGACCGAAATGCGTTGACCGTACTACTCCGTCTCACAAGGACGTTGTGCCACTGCATTAACGGTCATTACATCATTCAGTACACGTGCAACCATGTAGTGTAGCATGGCCAGCCCTGACTATAGGCCGGGTAGACGATCACCTAAGGCTCCGCTTTGATGAGGGCTCCAAATTATGTAAACTAATTGATTTGAAGAAAAACGAATGTTATAATTACGAAATTTTTAAATTAAAATTATCGTATGCAAACACACCATAAACTAATAAAATTCAAAAATACAAACATCTTTAAAATAAAATCATGTAAATGACATAAAACTCATTGCATACATTTATGTATCACATAAATATATGACAATCATTTTCTTTATATATAAATTAATTGAACATTTTTGTCTTTCCAATCATCATTTTTTTCTTAACAAGAAAAAAAAAGTAACTTTTCTCTTCAAAATTTACAGCTATTACTTTTTCTAATGCTCTCGTGGAGGGTCGTACAAAATAATGATGATTGCCATATATTTATGTTGTCCAAATTTGAATCATTTTCGTATGTGCAGAAGATAAAAAATACTGTTCTATTACGCTTTTTCAACTCACAACTGAGAGCAGCATTCTGTGGTGCTCATTATATAGATTGTAGTGGGGAAAAAAATGTGTTCCATGATGTTTGATTTCGAGAGTAACCTGCCCAAAGATTTACCGGCAACCTAACTGTTTTATAGGATTCTAATTAGTCTTCATGTCCTTAGCAGTAGCTTCGATGACCGGTAGAAGAAATTTTCTGCTTAAGTTGCTGTCTCTTGTAAAATTTTCGGCACAATGTTAGCTCGTCAACATATTTTTAGGAGCTTTTTATAGCAGTTTTATGACTTTTTTCACTTTTTGCTGATATATATTTTTCCTGCCATGTAGCCGTAAACTATGTTGCAATTTCTGAAGCACTCCAAGTCTCTCCTTCGGTTTTAGCTGCTGCAGATAATGTTATTTGTGCAGTATATTTCACCACATTGTTTGCATTGGCATTTAAAATACCAGCCGAATCTTCAACTTCAACTTCTGGTATGTGGTACTGAATACAACAAAGCCTCATTCTGCACATCTAGATTTGTTTACACGAGTTCATTTTTTCTCAGCCTCGCCACAAATTCTTCTTTAACGGCTTAATCATACATTATTCCTTGGTAGGCTTTGAACTTACTGAGGAATCAGAACCTGGAAATAAGCTTCCTGTACTGCAGACTGCAACGGCCCTTACTGCATCCTTTCTTATTTGCAAGAGTGGTAGTTTTCTAACAAAGTATTTTGGCATTCAAGGAGGTGGTCTTCCGGCCATTGTTCACGAAAATATGTTCACTTTGTAAATCACCATAAGTGCACGGTTCGTTAACAAATAATAAAGTGAAAATTGTAAAATTTCGAGTATCGTTCCCACGAGAATTGATTTAACTTGATTTCTATTATTGCGACTTTAACCGAATCTATTAAACAAAATTATCGTATGCAAACACACCATAAACTAATAAAATTTAAAAATACAAACATCTTTAAAATAAAATCATGTAAATGACATAAAACTCATTGCATACATTTATGTATCACATAAATATATGAATCATTTTCTCTATATATAATTAATTGAACATTTTTGTCTTTCCAATCATCATTTTTTTCTTAACAAGAAAAAAAAGTAACCTCTCTCTTCAAAATTTACAGCTATTACTTTTTCTAATGCTCTCGTGGAGGGTCGTACAAAATAATGATGATTGCCATATATTTATGTTGTCCAAATTTGAATCATTTTCGTATGTGCAGAAGATAAAAAGTACTGTTCTATTACGCTTATACTAGTTTTCTACTCACAACTGAGAGCAGCATTCTGTGGTGCTCATTATATAGATTGTAGTGGGGAAAAAAATGTGTTCCATGATGTTTGATTTCGAGAGTAACCTGCCCAAAGATTTACCGGCAACCTAACTGTTTTATAGGATTCTAATTAGTCTTTATGTCCTTAGCAGTAGCTTCGATGACCGGTAGAAGAAATTTTCTGCTTAAGTAGCGGTTTTATGACTCTTTTCACATTTTGCCGATATATATTTTTCCTGCCATGTAGCCGTAAACTATGTTGCAATTTCTGAAGCTCTCCAAGTCTCTCCTTCGGTTTTAGCTGCTGCAGATAATGTTATTTGTGCAGTATATTTCACCACATTGTTTGCATTGGCATTTAAAATACCAGCCGAATCTTCATCTTCAACTTCTGGTATGTGGTACTGAATACAACAAAGCCTCATTCTGCACATCTAGATTTATTTACACAAGTTCATTTTTTCTCAGCCTCGCCACAAATTCTTCTTTAACGGCTTAATGATACATTATTCCTTGGTAGGCGTTGAACTTACTGAGGAATCAGAACCTGGAAATAAGCTTCCTGTACTGCAGACTGCAGCGGCCTTTACTGCATCCTTTCTTATTTGCAAGAGTGGTAGTTTTCTAACAAAGTATTTTGGCATTCAAGGAGGTGGTCTTCCGGCCATTACGGCTATTGCTGTTATTTTAGCAACTGTATTTCCTAATCAATTTGCTTACCTTGCCCCTTCTGGTGAGGCTATGGCAATGATATTGATGCAGGTATGTCTTTTTGGTAGTCCTATTCAGCATCTGTGTTAGTCATGGTAATGGACATAGAATGATCTAAGTGTAACAGATTTTGAATTTCAGTTACCTAATTATAAATAAATTTTATGTTTAGTGACCAAGGTGGAATTGCTAAAATTGGTGTTTAATCTTCGACTATTGAAACTTTTCTAGCATGCATAATCTTTTTTCAGATCTTATTGTGCTTCTTTGCTGGATAATATAGAGAGAGTTAGACTTTGGCTGGAATTCTATCCGTTGTGGTGTTAGTGAAATTAAAAAGACATAAATTTTCGCTAGCCTGTCATATTAGTACACAAACACGGTCACAGCTCGTTTGATGCAGAACGGTGGATCATTAAAATGAACATAAATATCTTCGGAAAAGGATCTTCCTACATTCATTTCATCCATCACTGTAATCCTACAAACACAAATTATATCGAATTAAGTCATATTTCAACATATACATCAACAATTTTCCATGTTTTGTGACTTAAATAAGTGTGCAAAACACACTTATCAGCCATTACAGCTATTGCTGTTATTTTAGCAACTGTATTTCCTAATCAATTTGCTTACCTTGCCCCTTCTGGTGAGGCTATGGCAATGATATTGATGCAGGTATGTCTTTTTGGCAGTCCTACTCAGCATCTGTGTTAGTCAAGGTAATGGACATAGAATGATCTAAGTGTAACAGATTTGAATTTCAGTTACCTAATTATAAATAAATTTTATGTTTAGTGACCAAGGTGAAATTGCTAAAATTGGTGTTTGTACTTGGCACTCGTAATCTTCGACTAACGAAACTTTTCTAGCATGCATAATCTTTTTTCAGATCTTATTGTGCTTCTTTGCTTGATATTATAGAGAGAGAGAGACTTTGGCTGGAATTCTATCCGTTGTGGTGTTAGTAAAACTAAAAAGACATAAATTTTCGCTAGCCTGTCATATTAGTACACAAACACGGTCACAGTTCGTTTGATGCAGAACGGTGGATCATTAAAATGAACATAAATATCTTCGGAAAAGGATCTTCCTACGGGGATCAAGAACAATGAACTGGAATGAGGCCTGACGTTTCTTTATCTTTGAGTTCTATTTAAGACCCACATTTTTTAACCAGATATACAAGTTTTACTCGTTTTGTGCTTAATGAGCAAGTTTTAACATAAATAATTTCTCCATTGATCAAAGTTGGAAATAAGTAGTTATTTTGATAGTAAGGTGAGAGATTTTCTGGATAATTTTTTTTTTTTTTTACTTGAAAGTAAGAGTATTCATTTACTTTTTATGCATTAATAATTATATCGTGTATCAGGTATTTTTCACGGTTGTGGGTGCAAGTGGGAGTATTAGGAATGTCATAACTACAGCACCCAGTATTTTCTTGTTTGCTCTAGTCCAGATTTCTGTTCATCTTGCCATAATCCTTGGATTTGGAAAATTGTTCAGGTTCGACGTAAAGCTATTGCTTATAGCATCGAATGCAAATGTAGGAGGCCCAACAACAGCCTGTGGAATGGCCACTGCCAAAGGTTGGAGTTCTTTAGTCGTCCCTGGAATTCTTGGCGGTATTTTTGGCATAGCAATTGCAACTTTTCTTGGCATTGCTTTTGGACAAGCTGTTCTGAAATTCAAGTAACTTGTGAATTGCTTAAATTGGGGGCTTTTCTTTCATCTTTCTACTCTTATGTTGTAATTGTACACAAACCAGCTGCATACTGATATTTTCACTTAAATCAGATTTTCAGGATAACAATTACAGTTTGCTATGATTTTATTCATTTCAAACCTCGTAGTACAAATCTTAGACTCATTTCTTTCGAACTCGACTTGTGAAATATCTGAGTGCATCGACACGATTTCGCAATTTGGTGTCTCTTTTATTATAACCAAACAAACAATAGAACAGTCAAAATCATACTAATAGATTATAACTTTAAAATAAACAAACATTGTTTATAAATAATTTGCTTCTTTGAAGGTTGAATAAGTATCTTATTATCCCAAAAGGTCAACTGCAGAAATTAATTACAAGATAATTAACTCTTAATTTGGCTAGTAAGTAGATTATAAGTGTAAACACACTGTAGCTACAAGTTAAAACACTAGTCCTTTATTTCTAGTTCTGTATTAACTTTTTGATTATTCTTCTGTCTAATTATAAGCTATTTAAGGCTTTCTTGGACCGTTCTACGCAAACCATGGATTTAAGTATAAGCAGATTACCAGTCTAAACACACTGCTACTTGAAGTTAAAACATTAGTCCTTTACTTTAAGATGTGTTTTTAACTTTTTGTATTATTCTTCTGTCTAATTATAAGCTATTTAAGGCTTCTTTGGGTCATACTCCCTTCAAAAACTGAATATACTTTTAAATGAAAGGGATTTTTCTTGTAAAAATGAGAAATTTTCAAATTGCAGTTAAGCTGTTTATTTTTCTTATTTTTCTTGGATACGCTATGATATGGATTATGATGCCTACAAATATATTTTGGCTACAATGGTTGCCTGATATACATGCTAAAACCGACACGTCATACTTTGGACAACAAGGTTCGATTTCTCAATTTGTTCAAATTAATGTTTTTCTCTAAAATGAAACTTGGTCACCTAGAAAGGTAGGATTTATCAAGTTTCAAATTAATATTCGCGTTTGATTATATTCGCAGGTGTGAATATTCTTATATATAGTTTTCCAGTCCTACTTGTTGCTGCATTGGGATGTCTGTATCTTCATCTAGAGAAGTGCATAGATCATAGCAAAGACGAGTACGTTAAATTCTCCCTTATGATATGATCTTATTAGACGTAGTTTATTGATTTTATTCATCTACTTTTGTTTGACAGAACCCCTAAAGAGTCTAGTTTCTCCTCGTGGAGACGACCTGCTCTCGTGAAAGGCCCTCTAGGAATAGTCTCTTGGATAGAGTTATCCTTCTTAGCTATGTTCTTGGCACTCTTGGTTTGGTCATTTTCAGCCTATGTACACGGCATGTTCAAGAATATTACCAGACAATCTGCAGTAAATATGGGAGAGTTTGTGTATGTCGCTTTGATACGTAAGATTATACTGTATGGGACGATATAATAGATAAGATTTTAACTTCTTTTTCTTTCTTAATACAGATGGGAAGCAAAGTTAGAAAGTGCAGCCCTATTGCTTGGCCTTGTTGGGAACATATCTCTCGCCTTCCTCTTCTTCCCGGTGACTCGAGGATCGTCGATTTTACGTGTAATAGGCCTTTCTTCAGAATCAACCATTAAGTATCACATTTGGCTTGGGCATATAGTTTTGACACTCTTTACTTCACATGGTTTATGTTATATAATCTTCTGGGCTTGTACAAATCAGACCTCGGAGGTACTTCACATTTTACTTTTAAGTTGATTATAATTTACAACATGATAAAGTTACCGACTTAAGTACTCATTTCGTGAACATGAAGATGTGGGCGTGGAACAAATTTGGAGTGTCAAATGTGGCTGGAGAAGTAGCTTTGCTCTCTGGCTTAGTTATATGGATCACTAGCTTCCCGCGCATTAGGAGGAAATTTTTCGAGCTCTTCTACTACACTCATCATTTGTACATTGTCTTCGTCGTGTTCTTTGTTCTACATGTGGGATTTTCTTATTCTTGCATTTCACTTCCCGGGTTTTATATCTTCCTAATTGATCGATACCTAAGATTCTTACAATCCCAACAACGTATTCGTTTAGTCTCTACTCGTGTTTTACCTTGCCAGGCTGTCGAATTGAACTTCTCCAAAGATCCAGGTAAAAATAAACTTAACTCTGCCTATTTAATAACTTATATTTTGCTCATTTTTGTATTACTTTTACTGCCAGGATTAAGGTACAATCCAGGAAGCATTATGTTCATAAATGTGAAGAGCATATCCCAGATTCAATGGCATCCATTTACAGTTACATCAAATTCAAACATTGATCCTGACAAGATCAGCGTTGTCGTCAAAAGTGAAGGAAACTGGTCTCAGAATCTGTATAAAAAGCTTGCATCTTCAACTCCAATGGATCGACTTGAAGTCTCCATCGAAGGACCTTATGGACCTCCATCAACCTCCTATTTAAGGTTACCAGAGAACCAAATTATCATCGAGTTTTCTATATCAACCGCATAATTTAACTCAACGAAAACTCTTTTGTAGGCACGATGAGCTGGTGATGATAAGTGGTGGGAGTGGCATCACACCGTTCGTATCCATCATTCGGGAACTCATTTTCATAGCAAACACAAGAAGTTGTAAAACCCCAAGAATACTCCTCGTCTCTGCATTCAAGAAAACTGAAGATCTCGCAATGCTAGAGCTTCTCCTTCCGGTTTCAGGCACAAGTTACGACATTTCTCGACTGCAATTACAAATCCAAGCCTACGTAACTCGGGAGAAGGGTGCTTCACCAGACAGCCAGAAGCTCGACCGGAGCACGTGGTTCAAGCCAAGCACTTTAGACAGACCAGTATCTGCTGTTTTAGGCCTGAACACCTGGCTTTGGCTCGGAGTTATAATTGCATCTACCTTCGTCATTTTTCTTATTCTGATTGGCATTCTTACTGAGTACTACATATACCCCATTGATCATAACACCAATATGATATATCCATACTATGCAAAATCGATGATCAATATGTCACTTTTGTGTATGTCTATGGTGATAATTGCAACTCTAGCTTTCTTCTGGAACAAGAAACGAAATTCTAAAGAGTCGAGACAGATCCAAAATGCAGACGCTCCAATACCGACAGCATCTCCAAGACCCGAGTTGTGGCCTTCCGACGTTGATAGAGAGTTGGAAGGTCTTCCACACTATTCTTTCTCTCAAGTTACCACAGTACACCATGGAGAAAGGCCAAACCTTAAAAGTAAAGTGTTTTTTTTCAGTCTGCTTCGATATGCCCCTGTTTGAATCACATTATTTTTTTCATTTTCATTTTTCTACTAATTTTCAACCACACATTTTTCAATAAAATAATATTTTTCATCACATCAATAACTTTTCCTTCTTTTTCAACCACATATTTCTCATCACATCAACAATAAAAATACAATGTTTGATCCACATTATTTTTTTTATTCTCATTCTTCTATTCATTTTCAACCACACATTTTTCAATAAAATAATATTTTTCATCACATCAATAACTTTTCCTTCTTTTTCAACCACATATTTCCCATCACATCACTTCAAAAAAATGCATTCTCTCATTTTAATGTGCACCAAACATACTCATAAAAAGAAGCAAAAGTCATTGTTCATACAATATACAAGACAAATTTCACAAGCTAACGCCTCCTGTCATTTGTGCAGACATACTAATGGAAAGTAAAGAATCAAATGTTGGAGTTCTAGTTAGCGGTCCAAAGAAGATGAGTCGAGAAGTAGCTAAAATCTGTTCATCCGGCTTCGCAAAACACCTGCATTACGAATCCTTCAGCTTTAACTGGTAAACAGGAGACGAGGCGGAGCTCTTTCTTCGCCTCCCTATCAATTGTGGAAAATTCTGCAGTTTGGCAGCATTCTTACACTGGTTATATAACTAATTAATTTCTGTTTGAAACAATTAGCATAAAATATGTCTTCGAATCAAATTTTTATATCATTTACATGGGAATACTTGTGGCCCCAAGATGTCACGCTTACAACCTAGATAACATGTTAAAGCTCAACTTTTTTTTATTTCGATAGTGTCTTAAACGAATTTTTAAACAAATCGTGTCCAATACTATCCGATCAACGTGCCAGTTTTTCTCTTCTGACCTACTCCAGATTCCTATGTAATCTTTTGATCACTGTCCTGTTAGATGTTCTATCATAGAAAGTAAATAAATATACAGTGTTCGATCATAGACGGTAAATAATTTTACCGTCAACATCCATGCGCCTCGAGGCCCAACACAGTGGCATTTCTTTTAATCAATACAACCGTTCATCAAGCTGCAATGTACAGTAACTGTAAATTTACTTAATGTACAACCTAATAGATCGTATAATTATTCTCAAAATTAACTTAAATGAATAATGAGTAAACATAACTGAAGAAAATGTTAAATCGGCTTAGTACGGGGGGAAAAGGATAGAAAAGGAGATGGTAAAGAGTATCGTAATACAAACGTGCCATTCTTATCATGATACTAGTAAGATTTGGCAAAAATTGCTACTTCTGCTGCTGAATTACCAGTCATCAAGCACTTTTTCGTCCCCCGTGGCTGTTCAAAAGGGAAACACCTAATGGTTGCCCCGGTTTCTTATTTGACCTTCAGTTCTTCACTGTCACTGCACAGGTGAACCAGGCACGTGTTAGATTTACAAGAACATGACAAAATGTTCCGAAACGGAAAGAAACTTCAATAGAAAGGAAAAGTGGCTAACCTAGCTGACCAGGGTCCCCTTGCCCATTTACCTCGAGCTATTGCCTCTTTAAGCTCGGCATAAGAACGCACATCCACAATGTTACTAGAGAATAACACTTTAGAGTCAGAATACACAAATGATCAAATGTTACTAGCGTCCTAACCTAAACAAAGTACACGAAGCATTTTACGTGTGATCAGCCCATTTCTTCCCCTGCAACGACCAAACTCGGGGGTTGGGGAGGTACCAAACCACAAGCGAGCACACACTCAAAAAAAGAAAAATATGAAAAACAAGGACAACAATTGTGATAAAAAGAGAATGACAAAAAACCTGGTTGGGACTTAGAATAGCAACTGCATAGCCAAGCCAAAGTCATTTAAAATTGAAGAACTTGGCGCATTTTTTAGAATTTAGTTGAATTCACATCCAACAAAAGAGTACTAACTTTCGCTTCAGAATTATTTAGCACCTTGTTCATTCCCATTAATATAACTCAAAATATGCGAATTTGTTCACCAATTACAAGGTTTTCCTAGTTTTAAATCTATTAATAGAATATCATTCGAATTTATCATATTCCAGAAATCAAGATTTATTAAAGGATTTCACGTGAGCAGCAGCATATATAATATTTCTTTAACTTTTAACACAGCAGCTTCAATCCACAATGTTACTAGAGAATAACAATTTAGAGTCAGAATACACAAATGATCACATGTTACTAGCGTCCTAACCTAAACAAAGTACGCGAAGCATTTTACGTGTGATCAGCCCATTTCTTCCCCTGCAACGACCAAACTTGGGGGTTGGGGAGGTACCAAACCACAAGCGAGCACACACTCAAAAAAAGAAAAATATGAAAAACAAGGACAACAATTGTGATAAAAAGAGAATGACAAAATGATACGTGCCACTTTACATGCATGCATGCACGTACCAGACAACGAAGTGGTAGTGGCAAGATGGAAGACTTGGTCTAATTTGTTTGTTTAAGTTATGGGTTGTTGAGTCTGTTATTTAATAAGATTTGAGTGGCATAGTGGTGCTAATCTTTTTCTATTATTCAGCATTTCCGTTCCTTAGCAGTTAGCATTGTGGTTATTTTCTCTACTAACTGTATGGCTATATATAGCCTCGTTGAGTTTAATAAAATAAGCAGTATTTATTCTACAACAGTTTTCCTCCTCCTGCTATTTCTTTCTTTCCCTTATTTCAAAATTTCTCATATCGGTGGTATCGGAGACGGTTACGATTATGGATACTCAAGCAAAAACAAATGCTGAGTTTCGAAACGACGTCAATGATATGCTAGCCCGTCATGAGTCCAACTTTGATCAGGTGAACGCTACTTTAGAGAAGGTACTAACCGAGCTTCAAGCTCTTCACACCTCAAGAAGCCCACCCATTATCCAGCCCGAAATCAATCCATTTGCACATTCAGAAAACTCTCACCTGCATACGTCTCGTTCTCACAACACCAACGACCACTCCCCTCAGCACCTCAAATTGGCATTTCCAAAGTTTAATGGAGATGACCCAAGTGGTTGGATATACAAAGCTGAACAATATTTTGATTTCAAAAATATTGTACCAGGTCAACAAGTTCAGCTTGCTTCCTTTCATTTAGAGGGGATAGCTTTACAGTGGCATAGATGGATGACAAAGTTTCGTGGACCACTCACATGGGTCGAATTCACAAGAGCGGTATTACATCGATTTGGACCAACCGACTATGAAGAACCATCGGAAGCTTTGACTCGCCTGAAACAAACCACAACTGTTGCAGCTTATCAGGAAACCTTTGAAAAGCTCTCTCATCAGGTCGATGGACTGCCTGAAGGGTTCCTAATTGGTTGCTTTATTGCCGGACTTCGAGACGACATACGTTTAGATGTAAAGATCAAGAAACCGAGCTCCTTAGCTGATACTATCGGAGTTGCGCGGCTCATTGAGGAACGTAACCAATTGCAAAAGAAAAACGGCCAACCATTCTGCTCACAACCGACTCCACCAAAGGCAACAACCAACAACAGCAAAAGGGGTCCGTGGGTTCCTTGGTTTAGCAGGCTACTACCGAAAATTTATCCGTCACTTTGGATGTATAGCGGCTCCCCTGAGCCGTCTCTTGAGCAAAGATGGATTTCAATGGAATGAGGCAGCGGAGAGGGCCTTCAAACAATTACAAGAAGCATTGACGTTGCCACCCATTCTACGCCTTCCCGATTTTACTCAACGATTCGTGATTGAAAGCGATGCTAGTGGAATCGGACTCGGTGCAATTCTTACCCAACAAAATCAACCAGTGGCGTATTTTAGCGAAGCATTGAAAGGTTCGGCCTTGGCATTGTCCACCTATGAGAAAGAAATGTTGGCTATCGTCAAGGCAATCAAGAAATGGCGTCCTTACTTGCTTGGAAAACCATTTACAGTCCGCACCGATCACAAAAGTCTTAAGCACCTATGGGAGCAACGAATTACTACACCAGCACAAACACGATGGCTGCCAAAAATACTTGGTTATGATTATGAAATTGAGTACAAACGTGGGCTTGACAATCAAGCTACAGATTCTTTATCACGAGTTGTTGAATTCCACTTTTTATCCATTTCTCAACCACGTGCAGATTGGTGGCCAATGCTTCAAAAGGAAGTCCAACATGACTCGTTCTATGATGAATTATTACAAAAAAATCAAGCCGCCCACAAGCTGCTCCAACGTGATGGAGTTTGGTTCAAAGGCGACAAAGTTTATTTGAGTTCCACCTTACCTTTGATTCCGAAAATAATGGCTGACTGCCATTCGTCACCAATAGGTGGGCACTTTGGGTTCCATAAAACCCTCTCTCGTATCAAACAGAGTTTTTTTTGGTCTAATATGCGACAGATGGTGAAGGACTTTTTGCAACAATGTGACGTTTGTCAGCGGTTCAAAACTGATTGTATGAAGCCGGCGGGGTTGCTTCAGCCGATGCCTATTCCTACTTAAATGTGGTCTGATGTCTCGATGGACTTTGTTGAAGGGTTATCATCTTCTAATGGATATACTGCCATCATGGTAGTCGTCGACCGATTGACAAAATATGCTCACTTCGTAGCCTTGAAACACCCATTTACCGCGGTAATTGTTGCCAAGGCATTTGTTGCCAATGTGGTTCGCCTTCACGGTGTTCCGACATCAATTGTTAGCGACAGGGACAAGGTGTTTATTAGCTCCTTTTGGCGGACGTTGTTCCAGCTGCAAGGAACCAAGTTGTGTATGAGCTCAAGTTACCATCCCCAATCCAATGGACAAACTGAAGTCGTCAATCGAACTTTGGAGCAATATTTACGATGTTTTGCAGGTGACCAGCCGCGAAAATCGCTCGAATGGATTCCCTGGGCCGAGTTCAACTATAACACTTCAACTCACTCCTCCACCAAGATGACACCCTTTGAAGCTGTTTACAGCATTTCGCCTCCAAGTCTACTGGCTTATGTACCTGGCACTTCCCATGTCCAAGCAGTAGATGAGTACTTGCGTGACCGAGATACCATCCTACGTGAGCTGCGAC